TTTGACTATCAAATCTTTAAATATGTATAATCTAATTCCATAAATTCATTATTTTTCTGCTTAAACTGGAGTCCTTGAAAGCAAAGGAAAATCCTTTTTTTGGTTATAAGTAATCTGAAGATGGATGGAATTTGAGTGTGTTTACCTTTAATACAGTAATACCCCGAACTTAAACGACAGGCAGGACAGAGCTATAACTGTGTAAGTCGGGGTATAATTTCGCAATTTGTGTAAAATCCAAGTCAGATGTATGTAAGCTAATAAATGTTCTCGTTAATCTTATCTCGTCTTTTGATTTGTTCATGGTTACAAGAATTTACCACATAGAGTCTCTCAAGTCTCCGTAAATATAAAAACACAGAAATAAATAACACAAAATAAATTGTAGCTATGTGTCGATTCCGCGCGACACATCCGAACATGTATTCTGAACAATAGTGGGGGGAGTGAGTAATCAAGAGTTGCTTGGATCAAACAAACAAAAGATGAATCGAAGAGATTTGAAAATCACGTAAATCCAGGTTTGCGTAAGTCGAGGTATTACTGTACATAATAACAGTAGTAAAGGTCACCTTAACTTTGGACAATGGAACACTAATTCATGACAAAATATAGTTCAAAGATAGGCATAGCATGTTATAGTAATGTGTTAAAAGGCTGCTTACGTTTGGCAGTAGTCCAAAGTTATGGTGAAATGAACTAGTTGGTTAAAGCCATCAGGCTTGTGATAAAGAGAAGACATTGATCTTGATTCCATCAAATAATAAGTGTTCCCCCTTTTTTATTTTTTCTTTCTTTTTAGTGAACTTCACAGAATTCATAAATATGCATATGCATGCTGTGGTGGCCACATAAAACTTCACCCATAATTTCTAATAAATGCATCTTTTGGAAAAAATATTTCAGATTAAAAATGTGTGTATATTTTATGTACAATATGCAATAGAATACAAAGCTCCTATTTAAGAAAATATAGTCGACTCCATTTTCATCAATTATAATACCATGTATGATGAAATAAATGGCACACTACCTTGTAGTCCCCTTAATGCTTAACAATTTTAGTTTAACAAAAGGATGCATAGTTTTATAATTATTCCAGTGAACTGATTAAAATGGACCACCCTGTATACATTTTATCAATCAATGGTTTATAAATAAAATCTTACAGTATATAAATATAACCTCTTAATATGTTTGTAAATGATTTAACAATTTGTGTGTTGTGTTTTTATATCAAATGGACAGTTTAAATACAGGATCTGACAGTAAATTATTATTAGCTAGCAAATAAAATTTGAATTGGAATTAATTGATAACATTTGATTATTTTAATGCTTCAAGCCATTTGATGTAAAAGACTGACATTTTTTATTTATTTATTTATCAGGAACTAGTATGCACATTTTCACAATATTACATTTTAGTTCCAGAATGCCAGCTTAGTATCTTCACATTTAGGTATTTTTGAAAGCATTATATAATACCATAGTCATGACAATTATCAATACTGTAAAATTAATCTTTATATATTTTCAGAAGCATTCTTTAAAACCGCAACTAATGTAGAATTGGTGAGTAAACTGACCTTTCGTATGTTTCCAGCAATGCCATTGGCTCATTCAGGGGGGCCGGGGTGTCAGGCTTCTCTATATATGGATTTGGAACAATTTTTGAAAAATAAAGTTCTGGAACAAGATGATTTTAAACCAACCAAACTGTCTGGTTATTTCCATTACTGTTTGGCTGGTTTAAAATGATTTCTTTCAGAACTTTGTTTTTTCAAAAATCATTTCAAATTCCAAAAGATTAGGCTAAAAAATTCGGGGATCAGTGTAGAAGCCTGACACTGATCCCTGAATGAGACCAAAAACATTTGCTTTTTGCTTATATCGACAGCACTGCTGGAAAATGTACGAAAGGTCAGTTTAGTGACCAATTATGCTTCTGAAAGCATTATATAATACTTTGTTTCCAAGGACTTTTGTATGGACCAGTCTACACATCACTATTTTGAGTAATACTGCTTTATTTTGTATATACATTACAAAATCATTTGTCTAGAAATACTGAAGACAATAAAATATGTTCATAAAGTTCTGAACAAGTGAATAAAACACACAAACAGCATCGGATAAATCATATTGAAAACTGGTCGTAGGTACAAGAATAAGTGATATACATCTCACAAGCTAGTACTAGAATTTGACCAATGGTGAAGAGATGTTTATTTTATATTAGCAGTCGTGTTAAGCTATAAATTATCATCATCTAAGTACCAAAAAGCCATCCTATAAAAATATATCGAGAATCTAAATTCAACATTCTTCTAGTCAACATCCAAAATATTCATGTTCCTTTAGATAAAGCATCATCTCTGCATTCAACTGTCAAAGTATAATCTACTGCACATTCAACATAAAGATATGTAAGTCTAACAAGTGTGAAACAAAAATGTTTATCTTAGAAATTAAAGATTATGTATTTTTAAGCATCAGAAATATGTAAGCCAAAATAATAAATAATAATATATGCAGTTTGTTTTTAAATGTCATTATATTTAATAAAAATATTTCACAGAATTACCAGATATATATATATATAACCTAGTCTATTATTAAGTACACAGTCTGTACTTAACCAGTTAAATACAAAAACTATTTTCAACATATGAATAAGGAATAAAGCTATTCATTGCTTCAAAAACAGTTCCATAAGTTAATGCATGCAATATCACTAATATGCAGAAACATATTTCCTAAATCCACTACATTTTTGCAGGCTTTACACTATCAGCACCAGTCAAACATAATTGAATATCCCTATGCAAGCAAATAAATTAAAAAGAAACAATGTCTAGAAGTGACTTCATAAAACACTGTTCCAAAATTTTCCCTATATCCCTATTGATTTGGACAGACACACCCAATAATTGATCTATATTTTTGAAAGATTCCTTCTAAACTGTTTGCTAAGAACTTTATAATCTACATATATATATATTTATGCTATGGAGTCTCACATGGCATCAACTCTGCACTGCACATCTGGCAGCAAATAACCTCACGTTAGCAATACACTTCGTGTCACAAGCATTTTTGATCTCATTTAGTAAAGAGGAAAAAGCTAATTTTAAACACTGTTTTAGGATACTGTTCCAAATTTTTTTAGTTTAATTTTTACAATTATTTGGCACTGCAAGAAATAAGTTTTGGAGAGCAACACACCAAAAGATCACTTTTGGATCTATAAACTAATTTTGAATTTTTGCTTAGAGATAGTTTATTACCAAAACAGGATGTCAATGATGCTCAGAGAAAATCTTGCTAGGAATGTCTTCAGTTTTTATTACAAAAGTAAAATAGACCAAAACAAAATTCTCAAAAATTTAAAATAATAATTTTAAATATTAAACAACTTTACTCATTCACTGCTTTTATACACATAGTAATTCAATTCAGACAGTTAAACATCATAAATATATTGTCACGTCACCGTAATCCAAGATGCGAGACTTGTTCAAAGTGAAATTCTGAAAACATTGCTAATTTAATAAAATCCAACTCCCATGCAAGAAATAAGCAGTACATTCTACATAATTACCAGTATAAAAGAATCAAAACAAATTAGCAAAACAAGGTTATCTAAGAATAATTATCCAGCCTGATCATTACCCATATATATATATATATATCCATCAAACTAAACTCATTGATAACTGATAAATTCTGAAGAGAAACTAGTAACCACCATGATCACATTACTATATTATATTCTTTTACTAGCACACCATTCTAATACATGCAATCTACTTGATACAAAATTCATTAAACCAAAAAACAGGCTAGTAAATTTAGTTCTAATTAAATATTCAAAAATTTGGTCAATATTTGAAGCAAAAGGATGCAGATGTTTTCTCATCCAAATGATCCAGTTTCCTGATCAATGATGTGCAGTTATCATTTGATGATGATGATATTCAAAAATATCCGATTCCTCTTGCTTCAAATAGCAAAAAATGACATCAAACAACTCTAAGAATACCTTATACGTATATTACTAAAGCCAACCACTGCAGTATGCCATTGGCTATATCAAAGTTTACACTACTTGATTACTGGAATCCTGTAACTGACCCTTTCAAAACCTTTGTGTTTCCAGTAAGGTACAATGTTTACTTGAGTGAACAAACATTTTCGAAACTCCAACTGTTCTGCTTCAGGTTCAATGGTGTTCCAACTTTGGAATGCCAGAAATTCAAGTATTTAAATACCAGATAATTTAAGAGTTTGAATTTCTGATATGCAATATTTAGGAGCATCGTCCTCAAACTAATGCTTTGAACAGATATAATAAATATAAAATGCCATTAATGTAAAGTGTCAAATTATTTGGTAATTTATTATTATTATAGCAGTTATATAGCCCAATGGCATACGGCAGTGGTTGGGTTTAAAAATGGCATCATAACGCAGAGGAAGCGTTATTTTTGAAGGGGGTCTAACCTCAGTCTCCTTGCAACCAGCCAGCAAGAGCCAGAACGGGCTGCAAATAGACTGGACCCCTTTTGACACTTTTTTTAATAAATGAAATACTCAATATGACTATTTAAAAAGCAGTTTTAAAGACTAATTTTTGCTTGTATAAAATTACATTAATTTATGGCGATAAAAATCATTACCGAGTTTTCTTTGGGAGCGGGAAAAATCCTCAGCTCCCTCGAGGGCCAGGTTCTAACGCGAGGACACGCGACTGGAAACTAATCAAAACCGAGCATAGCACGTCGATTCTAGAATTTAGCAGAATTCCGTAATGTAATGATCCAAAATAAAGGGCATTCCCCAATTTTTAGGCTTATAAATAATCCTTTGTCACTCGTAATACAGGCTTCCACGCTTATAACGCGAATCTCGTCGAGTTTACCGACTGCACGAGCTGTTTCGCGTACTCCATTCAAAACGTGCACGATCGGTCGACGATTATATCGTAAAAGAAATTACCAATGCCAATTGTTGACGTTGGTAGCATCGGGTCTCTCCTCCACTATCCATCTGGGATCTCCTTCGCCCCACTTTGCCATCTTTTTTGGTTATCGACGAAAGAGCGTTAATAAATTCGAAGAACACGTTTCCGCACGAATAAGTCTCGGACGAATACTAGAAAATTCTGGAATCTTGAACCAGGAAGTGACGTAATTTACATCACTTTCGGATGTGACATCATCGGCGGAGAGTCTCGGCGCTACCTGACGGTCGAAATATGAATTTACCTATCCCGCGTCGAGATCAAATTTTAACGAACGTTTAAATAATTACTACATAACAAAAATAATTCAAAATTGATTGTTTTATAAAAAAAATAATTTATAACGAAATCTGATCTTGGTTACAAAAAGTATGAGATAAAGTTGCGACATCTGGCAACGTTCAAATATATATATTGATTAATCGCCGCTAGGGAAGACAGGAAATCGTAATAGGAACTAACTATAATTTTGATTGTAAAGATATTCGATATGTAAACTTTTACCATAATGAAATACGTAAGCATTAAGAGTACTTAAAAGCAAGACATATTTTTAAAGGTTTTTACTGAAGCAATTAAATTGATTAATTATTATAAACTAGTAGTCTGGGACTCCCCCCAGTGGGCGTTGTAGCAGCAGCGGTGTCATTCCGTGATATAAATAATAAATTAATATTACAAATAAAAATAATAATATACTGAATTTCTCATGGCGTACCCTACTAAAACACAATCATAAACGCAAAAAATCGCATCTAAAATAGTACAGTAGAAGCAGAGTTCAGGGTAATCCTTAACCTTCTCCCCCGTGAGGGAAATTTTAAAAAATTCTTTCTTAATGTGCATTCTCATGGTATACCCTACTAAAACGCAGTGAAAAACGCATTTATTGTTATTTTAATATTGTTATGCAAAAAAATGAATTTATTGTTAAAGTAAATAATAGCTAGGGCGCCCCTAGTGGGTTCCAGGCATACCGTTACAGATATACGGACACACGATCAATGGCTTATTAGATAAGCAAGTAATTGACATACTGCACTCTTTATAATCTTCTATTTTCACTGTTACATTAATTATATTTTGTAATAAATACAGTCGACTCCCCTATAACACTTGATTATTCCGTTTTATATGAATTCCATGTTGTACGAGTCACTTAGATTTTACATATATATGTGTCGGGCTGTGAACGGCTCACGTATTTGTAAAATCTAAGTGACTCGTACAACATGGAATTCATATAAAACGGAATAATCAAGTGTTATAGGGGGTCGACTGTATAAGTTCAATTATACAAAATATGATTTTTGTACTTCCTAACATCTTTGCTCCTAATCTCACAAGTCAGTGCATAATTCATCTTAGTAAAGAGGCCGAGACTTCCGCCGCTTCACAATACAGCTAAACGTAGTCAGCCGCATAGCAAAACGCGTTTTAACGACAATACGGTCGAATGGTACTTAACTTTATTAATCAAGCGGCTAAATTAAGTCTGCTGAACGCAGCCAATATGCCGCTCTGGAGCATTCATGTTTGAGTCCGGGTCGGAAACCTCGGAGATTTTTCACGAGTGGACCCTTCACCAACCGGCCATTTCCATTGTGAGCCTGGCCTAATCCTTGTAGGTATATAAATAAACACCCTCTTACTGTCCACTGGACGGAAAGAACCAAAGCCTAAAGTTGGTCTTGTCCATTCGGCCGTTTGCTTTTCTTCTTTTTTTCGGGGTTTATATGGAGATTATGGCTGTGAATCGGCTTTTTCTCCGACGAGTACCGGCTGCTTTTCATCGGTCGCGCCGTGGCAGACCGCTCTTCGAACTGGTCAACTTTTGCCAATTAGTATTGATATTAGCGACGATACTTTATTTTCAACAACAAATGTATTCACTGAAAGTTAATTTAGATATTACGCAAAATATACGAAAAAAACACGATGAACAGTTTATGTTGATCATAGTTCTATTATCGTTTTCTTCCGTAAGAGGGCGTCAATTTCTGCGACGAACTTTTCTGTTTTTTAGAGGACGTCGGACATGATTCGATCTCTAGGAAAACTGGCAAGTTCATAAATTTTAACTCGATTCCGTTTCTATTAAGGAATTTTTCGGTAAGATTCTAATCCACGTGACGCTCGAGTTCTCGATTTTACACATCCGTTAGGATGTGGCCGCGAAATAGAATGAGGATAACGCCGGATCGAGATTAACGCTACCGCCATTTTTAAATTGTGAAAACCAAAAGGATATTTTTGATTCAACGAAGAAAAAAATTGAAAATAAAAGATATTACGTAAACATTGTCGCAATCCACGTAAATCAATTTTTATTTTAAACGTAAGTTAATTTTAATGGATAAAATTATCCATGAATTTGCTGCAAACAGAAATATTCATGGGTCACTCCCATTGACTACAATAATAATGCTTGTAGGCCCACTAGTGGCTAAGTGGTTCTGTTCCCTGAACACTGGAAGTTCAGTTCTGGGTTCGCACCTTGTTTGGACGGGCTGGCCATGTGGAGTTTTCCTGGTTTTCTCCACATCTATAAATAGGGGCCAGTTATCCTTAAAAGACTTCCCAGAAGACATTATTCCCCGTGTAACTACCATCATAAATTCATACAACTACTATTACATGACAATTATGTCACACTTTACCAGGGAACAATATAGCCTAGAAGCTCATACCCAACTAGCTGATACAATACAAATATACAAATAATGCTTGTAGACTAATACCCTCCTAACTAATCAATTTCTACACCACCACAACTTAATGTAATCATACAGATGCAAGTACTGTACTAGTGAAATAGTTCCTTTTACCGTATTGATGATTGCATGATCTTTCACAGTAAGATGTAAACTCTGAATGAGGGATTTGTCACCCCCAGAGTTATAGACCACATACGAGCAAAAGAATCAATAAAATTGTACCCGTACATGTGACACTTCACAACATATTCATCTCTAAAGATCAGTTTTTTTTTGTGAACCAGTATACTGCCTATTCTTCATACTCCATGCTGGTCTATGCTTGCTAATGCTTGCCTCAACTGATGCTTCACATATAGTTGTGTGCTTTGGTGCTTGCTATCACTTGCATCTCAGCGCCCTTGTGTGAGCAAGTCCCATGTCCCGTATAACTATACAAAATCAAGTACTTCATAAATAGTCAAGTAGCCTACTCAAAGCTGGCATAGTTATGTGGGCTAAATAGTTAAATATGATAGTCTTAGTGGAGTGATGCTATTCCCGATTGCTTGTGACATGGTCGGTAGGCTGATTTTGTGAGGCCATATCTCACAGAGGGATACATGGATGTGTGGTTCCTTTGACTTTTCTGTTCCTATGGGTATGGTCTACAGCTCTGATAAGGTCTCAATTATTTCATTGAGAGATGTAATTGTATTGACTGTTTACTAAGTAATATTGTTACTAGTGTGTACAACTTGGTTACTGGGGCTGAATGGCCTAGCAGCTCAAGCTCCACCCAAGCATTATCAAGTGTCAAGTAATACTTGTAAACTATATTAGTACATAATACTACTGCCCAAGGTTAAACCCAAGAGTTGTTCTAGTATTATATCAACAAAAGTTTGCCCTTTTTCAGTCTTCCCTTCTCTATCACCACAAGTCATCGGAAATCAAGGCACCTCTTTTCCTTAATTATATTATTAGGCCAGAAGTTAAAATCATTTATAAATATATGGGAATTATTTTCAGACAATTTTGTGATGATTAGGGAGAAAAATAAACAACAGATGCAATCTTACGTTATCAAGGACTCACCCCTCTTTCCTCATCATCAGCAATTGTCAGAAACAAACGAATCCCCCTCCTCTACAAACTATTGACGTAATACTTGAATACATTGAGAATACATCACTTGATGTATTCTATTGCAGTTTGGTTTAATTAGTATATTTCATCACTGCAGTACTAATAGGAAATAGACAAGCAGTCTCCACAAATATTACTGTGTGGCTGTGGGAATTAAATGAGGATGATTATAATAATGCCAAAATTGTAACATATTGAATCTTCATAATCATAATATAAATATAGCAATAAATTAATCGACGTTGTATTGGCATTGTAGATTAGATATATAGAAGACTAAGAAACCACTGGTCCAGATAGGACTTATTACAAGATGCATTTTCCAAATGTTTGGTGATTCAGAGGATTTGATTTTTCTTAAATTGATTTGACTACTTTTGAAAGGTTCCTAAAGCATCTCCTACAGCTGTTGTATCATTTGCATTTGATTCTCCAAAGTAATTCTCTTATATTAGTTGATATTCATCAGATAAATTCAATTTCATAAATACCAATTTATCTTATTTTTCTAATTCCACCCCTACATATGTAGTTTTTTAAGAGCATTCATATTTCCATCTTTAAAAAATTTTTTGAAAAGTTCTGAGATTTTAGTCTATCTGCAAACTACACTCAATGAGAAGCTTCACATGTTTTATCAAATACAAGTGTGGACTTGAAGCACCAATATATCAAAACTGTTTTTCATTATATCCTTTTCACATCTGATATCACATATGTGTCCTTAATTTTGTTTTATGTTGGTCATTTTCCTGGTTGATTTGATATGCTGTAATATACATTAGTGTAAAGATATAAACCTATGTTGTTTTATATTAGCTAACTATTTAACCTTTAATTTTAGAATNCATCTGATATCACATATGTGTCCTTAATTTTGTTTTATGTTGGTCATTTTCCTGGTTGATTTGATATGCTGTAATATACATTAGTGTAAAGATATAAACCTATGTTGTTTTATATTAGCTAACTATTTAACCTTTAATTTTAGAATAGTTTCTTGGAACAATATAAATACAAAAAAATATGTACATTTTTAATGCTTTCATATGACTTTAGAAAATTTCAAATTTTTAATATTTGAATTTTTCAAAAGAATTGACTTATTAATTTTTTGTTAATTATTTTCATATTTATTTATAATTAAAAGATAATGTTATAAATATTCTGTATTGTATTTAAATTTTAACAATCAATATTCAATATTTCTTTAGATAAATTTCCAAAAGAATGCCATTCAACTTCTTCAGAGTAAAAATAGAAATGTTGAAGCTAGAAAATTATGGGGTTGGTTAAATACCGTCTTTAACAAGTAAGAATTATATTAATTAAATTGAATTTAATTTAATAATTCTGATATTAAATGGAGAGAATAAAATTTAATTCATAGTAATTCATTAATACTGAATAAACAATACTGTACACTCTTACTAAACCAGCTTCTTAATTGTTTGACAATTTTCTGAACGATAGTAAATGCATAATTAAACAGATATTTGTTGCATAAAAAGTAATTATATGAGTCTATTAAAATCTTTTAATGGTGTATAAGTCATCTTTATAATGCAATTTAAATTTTGTATTTACTTGTAGAAACATTAAATTTATAAAATGGATGTGGTAAATTTTATCAGTTGCATTCCTTATTAACATAAAATATCAAGAGTCAGCCTATTTAAAATAAATCCCATTTCAATAATAATTAAACATGTTTGGAAGTTTTCATCTTTATCATCAGAAATTATAAAAAAAAAATAAAGTTGTGTATTAATTAAAGCACAACTTATAAATGCTTATGTTAATTTTTTTAAATTTTGTGTAAATATATTAAAAATATATATATAAAAAAAGAATTAGAGCTTAAGAGTAATTTAATTAAAATAAAACTTACATTAGTGCTAGTGACTTGTATCCTAAATGAGAATTTAACAATACACTAGAAAAGAACTGAAATTATTGAATTATTCATCTCTCTTCTTTGTTAGAATAGCAAAAAAACTATATATCATACTGTACATACATATACTATGTTACCAATAGTGTCTGGACACACTCATAACCCCACCTTATCTTGTCTATATGATACAAATACATGCTACTAATGCAGTGGCGTAGTGAACATAATTGGCACCAGGGGCACAACACTTTATTGGCGCCCCCAGAAACACATATTAGGTGCGTTTACTTTTAGCTCTGATCTCGCCCCTAGTGCACTCAGTCTGTGTACTTTTTGTTAGCTACCAATGAGCACGGCGTTTACTTTTCGCAGCCGTGACGTCATTGCTAGCATTCCTAACGCTCTCGGAGTGCTCAGAGAATTTACAACGAGCTTGGAGTTTGTTCAAAGATGGTGGCATTCATTACTGTGTATACTTTTACCAGCACGCTAGTATGACGTCAGGCTGCGCTAGGTGTCAGCTCAGTGAGCGTGGAAGCTAGCAAAAAGTAAATGCACCAATAGTTTGTCTTGGAGACCATTTGGGTGCCCCTCTGCAAGTGGTGCCCGATGCATGATACATAACCTTGCACCCCCCTCACTACACCACTGTACTAATGCAATATAAGCAAAGGTACAGATGCATTAGCAGTGTGGAGACTGTGCCATCAAAATGAGTGAACATAAGGAGTTGAGTCTACTCAAATGTATGATAAAGTCCATAAGTTTGGTCATTTGATCTGAGAAATTTCCACCACATTGCATGTGTCCCAGTCTGTTGTCATCATTGACATTATCATAGTAGGCCCAAGAAATTGATAGACAAGGATCAGTAAACTCTCAAATATGTTGGAAAACAAAATGATCAGATGTCCTTAGTGCCTACTGCATATGACTTTAGTAACAGATGCCAGTGACAGAAGTATTCATCAGGAGTTATTTGTATCTTTGTTATCATGGTCATGTAACTTTCAAGCCATTGATTACACCTGCCAGCAGGACTATTGAGAGCTCATATGGGGCCGAGGAATAGAGCAGCAGGCCCCTTTTGCCTCTTATCTGCTTATCAAATTGCCATACATCAGCTGTTCATCATACTGTAAAGTACTATATTATTTTTCCGACTTTCCAACGATTATCGACACTACTGTGTGCCGGAANGGTGCCCGATGCATGATACATAACCTTGCACCCCCCTCACTACACCACTGTACTAATGCAATATAAGCAAAGGTACAGATGCATTAGCAGTGTGGAGACTGTGCCATCAAAATGAGTGAACATAAGGAGTTGAGTCTACTCAAATGTATGATAAAGCCCATAAGTTTGGTCATTTGATCTGAGAAATTTCCACCACATTGCATGTGTCCCAGTCTGTTGTCATCATTGACATTATCATAGTAGGCCAAGAAATTGATAGACAAGGATCAGTAAACACTCAAATATGTTGGAAAACAAAATCATCAGATGTCCTTAGTGCCTACTGCATATGAGTTTAGTAACAGATGCCAGTGACAGAAGTATTCATCAGGAGTTATTTGTATCTTTGTTATCATGGTCATGTAGCTTGCAAGCCATTGATTACACCTGCCAGCAGGACTATTGAGAGCTCATATGGTGCCGAGGAATAGAGCAGCAGGCCCCTTTTGCCTCTTATCTGCTTATCCAATTGCCATAGATCAGCTGTTCATCATACTACAGATAGAGTAGAAACAAATTCCAGCAGCAGATTAACAGAATTTAGTGGAAAGCTTACTCCAAAAGGTAATGGTCATAACAATTTAAAAAAGATTGACCTTATACAGGTACCACTCTACTTATGAACATTTAACTTACAACATTTTAGACTTACAATTTCATCTAAAATTTAAATTTTGCATGGATTCTGAAGTTCTCTTGATACTTCTGGGTGACATTGAAGTCTGTCCTTGGCCAGTAATAAATAATTAATATGGGCTTGCTTCTATTTGTATCATCATTTTTTGTTTTTGCATGATTTCTGAGGTACCATTGCTATTCATGAAGTTGAAGATTGTAGTTGATNCTTTGGATTCTCCTTGATCTGCCATTGCCAACAGGTGAAGGTTAGCTTGCTGTGTCTTTGACAATGTTCTTTCATACATTTCTGATTTGCATATTGCACATACAAGAAATAAGGTTTTGCTTAATTTGTTTTTCTACTAATATCCACTTAGAAAATTACTTAGTACTTATTCCTACATTTATAAATGTGATTAAACTGTTAAAAAAAATGAATATAATTGCATTCCACTAACTTAAATTTTATTGAAATTATACAAATGAAGCTTTAGTTGGAAAGAGTTGAGATTTAACAAAGCTACACAACTCAAAATAAGTGTTACAAAATGGAAAATAAATACTGTATAAAATAAATACACTCTCACCAAAATACTGTATAAGTAAAAAATTTTCTCATGCTACTTCACAAACACCAGTAATATATGCAGTTATCAACATTAGCATGTTGATAACTGCATATATTATTGGTGTTAGTCCCTTCATAAAAATAGCACTTATATATGTGTAGTACTGTTTACACCCTGAAATTACATTATTATTAAAATAAAATATATACTTAAGTTTTATCATTAATGTTTTTAATCAACATTATTATTGTAAAAATACTTTCTACAATTGGTTCTATGGGAAAATACTAATATTAATGTATAAATATGTGCAGTAATTCATTATAATAGGTTATTGCAAAAAATTAGATTTTTAAATTATTTTTTAATGAAATAATCAAAACAGCATGTTCCAAGTATTGTAGTCTCAAATACTTTTGAGTTTCCTGGCTCATCATTTGAGATTAGTTATTTTTCATGCTTTTTATGAACAGCATCTTAAATGCCTTTTATGCCAAATAGTAGTCTTTGTTCTGTCAACTTGCCTGAATAGAATATTTTTAATTAAATCAAAGCTTTTGGAAACTATATAAAATAGAAAGTTATTTCATACAATTAGCCAGTATAATTTTAATTTTTGCCTTTTTCTGTTAAGTAACATATTGTTAAATTTAAAAATCAAATCTAATATTAAAGAAGAAATGCAAAGAAAATATTGGAAATGTAGTCTGAAATAATAAACTTAGTTTATTTGCAAAGGAAGGAGTGTAAGTCAGAAAAACAAAAAAAAACTAATTTAATGAAATATTTTTGTTCTAAAACAAATTTCAGATTTCTAAATAAATTTAGTAAACTTTGATTAATTTTCTAATTATTTAACTTTCCTTCAGTGAACATTTATTTTTTTTTACATAGTGATTTGTTAAGTAACAAGTGCGCATGGTTCATTTCTTTTCTCCAGTTTTCTAATGCTACAGAAAAGTTGTTGAAAATCTTTAAAAAATATATTTCTTCTGATTATTTATTTTTAATTAAAATAAATTACTAAATATACTCATTAAGTTGAATTTGTGCATTACAATTCTGTACTATATAAATTTTTATACTATGTTTATTAGCTTTAAAAAATTTAAGTGAAGTTTATTTTAGTTTTAAATTTTATAACAAATTTTTGTTTTTTGATCAATGAAATATGTAATTAAAATAAAGCATCTTTGAAAAGTAAATAGTTAACTGTTAACAAATTAGAAAAATTATCATTTGTTACTTAAATATAAAGAGAAAATTTTTTTCTCAACTTTTGTTATAAAATTAATGAATATTTAAAATGTTTTAAGAGGGTTATATATCTTATGTAATTTCAGTGTAATTTGTTTATTCTTTAGATATAAATATTCTAAGATATTTAATATCCCAGGTTATGTACGTAATGCATTCCATCAAATAGTAGTAGTATTGTAAATGGTTGTATATAAATTACCATTTTCCATACACTTTTTTTTTATTTAAAGAAAGTTTTTAGGAATGCTGGGGTATTCCTCAGGGAATTCCCTTGTTAAATTCCTTGCTCTACAGCAAGGAAAGAAGAAGAGATATCTCTGTTAATATTTATAGAGATCAAAGGTGAATTTGACAATGCATGGTGGCTCAAAATTTTAAAACTTTTCAGAGAATTTAAATTATTTGAAAAGAATAAAATTCCATAATTGTAGTTATTTAAATGATGAAGGTTTAGGAATGTTAGACCTTGTGAAAGACACATTACAACACCTGGAAATAACAAGTTGTGGAAATGTTACAAATAAAGGATTGACGCCTCTGAAGAATTTAAAGTAAGATTTCTTAAATTTCTTTAAAATTTCTATTTTAAACAAATTATAAAGTAAGAGAAAATAATTTTAATTGCATTTTAAATGACTTCTATAACAGTTTTTATCTTAATATCCAATTACATCATTTTAATTTTAGTTATTAAGCTTTCATGTTAGGTTTACATTTAAATTTGATATTGTAGCTGTGCAGCTAACTTATTTCCATTTAGTAAATAGAAATATTTTAACAAATATATAATATATTGAATTAGAAATTAGCATAAAATTCTTAAATTCAACAATGTTTGCTTAATGATGTGCAAATACAGTAGAACGTCGATTATCCGAAAGAATTCCAGTCGGCAAATTTAAATTTTCGCCAGTGCTGTGACGCTTCAATCTTTGGCTATGTCTTGGGCTACTCAAATATATTACGCTTTTGATACTAAATTAACTTTTGAAATATGATATTTTATTGTTTTTATATTTTTCAATATATTTATTTTGTTTGTACAAAATACAAAAATAATTTTTAACGATACAATAGTCTTCGTTAGGCTTAACATCGACGAAAATTTAACGCGAAGCGACACGCAACTGAGAAAAATTTCAACATGGGATAGGTTAATATATTTTTTGTACACAATCGGTTATCCGAAAAATAAGTTACCCGAATAACCCCAGTCTTCAATTGATTCGGATAATCGATTCTCTACTGTAAATAAAAGATTATATATTTTATATGTTACACTAAGAAACACAAACAAGTTCATTTTTAATTTTAGTTTGACTTTAAAAGTTATTTTTATTATTTCGTTTCAATTATTGGAAATATTTTCGAAAGTTCATGGCTTAATAAAAAAATACAAACTGATAAGTACTGATTAACTTATTTTTATTTTATAGTTTTGTACAAGTGTTGAGTCACTTCTAATTAATTAATACCGTTTTTTATAATTAAGTAGACTATGTTTGAATAAATATTGTTCATCTAATTAATTGCCTTTTAATTTAATTTTAATCATTAATATACTTAAATCAGGCCTGGCCAACCCGCGGTCCGTCACGTTAAATTGTGTGGCCCGCTAAGCGATATTATATAGCTATTAAAACATTCGTTTTCGGTTTTGTGTATACCAAAAGAATTAAATGAATGAAAATTTGCATATGTCATTGTTATAATGCTCAAGTGCGAGTACGAACTCTTGGTATAACAGTGAAATCTTATTCATTTTGTATTTGTTTTACTTTTTTAAAAGCGCGTTTGCCTACATTGTGGCTCGTTGTAATGTTAAGCGTGATCAAAGAAATGGCCCGCGAAACAATTTGAGTTGGCCAGGCCGGTCTTAAATAATAAATCTAAATCAGTTCGGCCTAGGCCAAACTGGATTGTCCTAGGCTAAACTAGTATATCCTGACACTCGTAGGATAAACTAGTTTGGCCTAAGATCGGCTTTAGCCGGTAATATTTACATAAAAGAACTAAAAAAGAAATTTATTCTAAACGGATATCCTAATAGTTTAATCGATCGCTGGGAAAACAAGATAAATAGTAAAATGAATAATAAAAAATCAAAAAAAAAGCTGAATACAGATACAAAATATACTAGTTTTCCATATATAAAAGGACTATATGAGAACATCAACAAAGATTTACAAAAAATAAATGCAAAATTAGCTGTTTTTCATGACCATTGTTTAATAAATAACTGTAATATAGATAAAAATAATGTTAAAATCCTACACAAAGATAAAAATATGTATAATAGAAAATTTAAAGAAAGCCTCTCACTTTTAATAGCCAAAAATTGTATCAATAAACATTTAAGTGTAAAAATAAATGAGAACTGGATGAAAATATTATANTTTTTCCGCTTGGGAAGCGCAAGTGTGCGCGAGTTTTTCTACGGCGCTTTTCTTTCGTCGGTGAGTTGGTTTTTCTTCTATTTTTAAGTTACTAAGGTGAATGGTGAGGAAACCTTCGTCTTAAATAAACATAAGCCCCAAACAAAATATAATGAAAGCAAAATAAAAGTAAAATAAAAATAAAGCTCAGACTTGGTTCCTTACAATACTACAGATAGAGTAGAAACAAATTCCAGCAGCAGATTAACAGAATTTAGTGGAAAGCTTACTCCAAAAGGTAATGGTCATAACAATTTAAAAAAAGATTGACCAATTAAAGATTGACCAATTGAACAATTAAAAAGATTAAATGTTCATAAGTAAAGGTACCACTTTACTTATGAACATTTAACTTACAACATTTTAGACCTACAATTTCATCTAAAATTTAAATTTTGCATGGATTCTGAAGTTCTCTTGATACTTCTGGGTGACATTGAAGTCTGTCCTTGGCCAGTAATAAATAATTAAAATAGGCTTGCTTCTATTTGTATCATCATTTTTTGTTTTTGCATGATTTCTGAGGTTCCATTGCTATTCATGAAGTTGAAGATTGTAGTAGATAGCATTGAAGTAATTGTTTGCAATTTTTAAAAACTTTTACAATTAGTGCTTCAGAAATGCATCCAAAACATACAGTAATAGTAAATCTTGCAGTTATGGGCATAAATGCAAGAAGCAGCACTCTACTACCATCGAAACTAAGCTGGACATTATAAAACTGTATTAGGTGAAAAAATCCATGTTTAAAACACCTACTAGTAAGCAGTAGTGAGCAAGAAAACAAGTATAATGTATTCTATTACGTACTTTGAAGGATCAAACACTAACAATAAGTGGCTAGTCTGTGTAAAAATGCACTTTTTACAGTAGGTTAGTTTTTGACTTATGAAGATTTCAACTCATGACAAAACTGGGAATCTAACTTGTTCATAAATAGGGAAACACCTGTACTGACAACAGCACTAAAGAGGCAAGAAACATCAGAAACTGATGTCCAGAAACTTTTGACAACATAGTGTAAGTCAGAAAACTGAAAATGTAATTTTGTAATATTTATTTTAGATGGTGTAGATTTAAAAATAAACATACTTTAAATTTTTCTAAAAATTTTGTTTTATTAATTAAGAGTTGATCCAGAACGAATAAAAGAAGTTGGTCCTGACCGAGCAGCAGCCGAATGGCTAATCAGATGCGGTGCATCAGTAAAGTGGAAAGACATAGACAAATGGCAAGTTGATTACAATACTTTACCGACAGGCAACTTTCAGAGATACAAAATAGAAGAAATAGATGCAACAGATTCTTCGGTGATGTACGTTGGATTTCCTCATTTAAGTAAGAAAATTTCAAGTGTTAATAAGTCACAAATTAAACAAACTTAACATTTCAGTGTTTATAGATGCAAAAATCACTTTAATTCTGATAGGTTGATTTTTCAGACAGCTAGTCCAAGTTAAGTGACACATGACTTTATTGCATTAAACTTTTAAAGTATATCTTTACATCAAATGCATTTTGGGCTAACATAACTTTATAGCCCCTCTTCAGTGATGCATGAGAATGTAGAAACAATTTTGATACTCCAGACTATGCTTTTAAACAAATTTTTAGTATAAATACAGTAAACCATTACGACATCATACTCATTAGTTACAATTTTAAAACTTTTATTATAAAATCTGCTTTAGTATTCACTAATTTCAGTTTCTATACAGTGGTTAGGTTTCTATACAGTGGATATATGTATATATATATATAAATTTCAGTGTTTATTGAAAACTTTGAAAGTAATGAAACTGAAGTAATTATATGAATTAGAATTAATAGAATTTAAATAATAATTGTCATTTCTTATCACTTTAAAATAATTTTTATACATAATAATTTATTTGGTTCTTATTTCTAAAATTTTAAAACTTTTCAGAGAATTTAAATTATTTGAAAAGAATAAAATTCCATAATTGTAGTTATTTAAATGATGAAGGTTTAGAAATGTTAGACCTTGTGAAAGACACATTACAACACCTGGAAATAACAAGTTGTGGAAATGTTACAAATAAAGGATTGACGCCTCTGAAGAATTTAAAGTAAGATTTCTTAAATTTCTTTAAAATTTCTATTTTAAACAAATTATAAAGTAAGAGAAAATAATTTTAATTGCATTTTAAATGACTTCTATAACAGTTTTTATCTTAATATCCAATTACATCATTTTAATTTTAGTTATTAAGCTTTCATGTTAGGTTTACATTTAAATTTGATATTGTAGCTGTGCAGCTAACTTATTTCCATTTAGTAAATAGAAATATTTTAACAAATATATAATATATTGAATTAGAAATTAGCATAAAATTCTTAAATTCAACAATGTTTGCTTAATGATGTGCAAATACAGTAGAACGTCGATTATCCGAATCAATTGGGGACTGGGGTTGTTCGGAAGATCGATGTTTCGGATAACCGATTATGTACGAAAAATATATTAATTTATCCCATCTTAACATTTTTCTCTGTTGCGTGTTGCTTCGTGTTGAATTTTCGTCGATGTTAAGCCTAACGAAGACTATTGTATCGTTAANAAATTAGCATAAAATTCTTAAATTCAACGATGTAAATATATAATAATTATAAATTTTAAAAATTTATATACAAAGTATACACTGCTTAATGATATTTATATATTCCCAGAAACATATCATTAAGCAAACATCGTTGAATGTACTGTGCATAGACAAACCTTATGTGGCATAGTCTACAACTCATATAGGCTATACATAACAAAATGATAAATATTTATATATCTAAATAGATCTAAACATAGAGAAATTATGGGCAGCTATGAATTTTTCAGTTCCATTATTTGTGTTTTTCATGAACTATAGAGGGTTCTGCATTTTTACAAAATGGCTACTTTATCTGGGTCAAGATCGTAGTATCTTGTATCTGGGTCACTTGTAACTAGTCAACATAAAATTAATCATATATTACAGTCCAATATAATGATATATGCTGCTTGTAGCTGTTTGTTGAGAAATTTATAGGAGAACAAATATTGCTAGCGGGACATGTCATTACATAAGACATTATAGAAACAAATGAAAGAGATCATTCTATACAATTGTGCTCTGTGTGTTAAAAAGCATTCTGTCCCATCAGGGCGATATTTACAAGCAAGCTATGTTACAGTGGCATGCCGTCCATGAAAGCTGTGGAAGAACTACTTCCCTTGTATTTGCTAAAATATAAATACATATTGTGTGATTATTTTCATATTTTAACGTACTTTGAATTAATTAAAATTAATATTTTATTATAACCACATTATGTATTTTATTACAAATTTCTATACATGTGAAAAACAATGATAAAATTGCTATTGTATATTCGAATATAAATATGCATATTCCCAATGGAAGCATTGTATTGTCGAATACAAGATAGCTTCCAAGGCAAAAATACTTGAATCGTGTAAAGGAGGATGCACACATGTGGCGTGGCAAGGAAAAGCATTGTTGCAAATGCATTTTTGCCGTGTGGCAGCACAACCACACAAGTGGTAATCTGCTTACATTTCCATGCATGCATTCAGTATTCAAGATGGCAAACAATATTGACACTGCCACTATCCATGTGTTTACAAATTTTGTTTTGTATGGCTTGCTTTATTTAGCTAGAAGATTTTGTCAAAGATTTGAATGAAGATTTTGGATTGAGAAAGAACTGGTGTACAAAATATGCTTATTCCTCGATTAAGATCTCCCAATAAAGAATACTATTTTGAGTAAGATTCCGTTGTTTTGTTCTTTGAATTAAATTATATATGACTATTTGTGTAGAATTTGTGTTAAATTTATTATCCTTTCCTCCTTATTCTGATGTTAGTTATCCTGGTTAACCATGTTGAACTTTCTGCCATTAAAACACATGTGATTGTATTTTCTCATGTGACTACCAGATGAACTGTTATTGGCTGATAGAAATTCTATTTAACGCAACAGAAAGCTTCTTTTTTCTATTTCTATTCATCTTTATTGTTGACAATATACAAGAATGATTCAAACAACCCATATAAAATAGTTCTGTTTTTAAACATCAGAGGGTGAGCATCCAGTGAAAAATAAGAATAGTGTTGTGGGACCTCCATTGTATATGTGGTCTGTTGTTAATCAAAACATTGCTAAATGGTACATAACGATATTAATTGAAATTATTAACTGAAAACTATTTCATAAATTGCAGCATCATATACGAGGGGTGTTCAAAAAGTATTGGACCTTTATTTTTCCCACATAAACCAATGATGCATGGGAGGTCTCTTTCGGTGGAGTTGTGGAGGAGGGGACAGTCATACACAGTCCTGAATTTTTTCCTGCCTGAAGGAAGCGTCGGTTGCTGGCAGTCAGCCTTTGAGTGAGGACATTTAGCGAGCTCTAGTCGGATTCCACTAAGTTGGAAAATGACTGAACAACGTGAGCAGTGATATTGCATCAGTAAGCTTGGCGATACCCAAGCGGAAACCATTCACAAGATTTAGCAGGCTTTTGGGAATGATCCTTGAGGCCAAAAAAGCGTGGCAGGTCGGCAGCAATGTCAAGGTCATATTGACGGTTTTTTTCTACTCCCATGAGGTGGTGTATCCTGAGTACGCACCACAAGGCCAAACCATCGCAAAGGAGTACTACCAGGAGGTCCTATATCGTCTTTGTGATGCTGTGCGATGCAAATGACTGGATCTGTGGTCAACCAAAACTTGGCAGCTCCATCACAATAACGCACCCGCCCATTCTGCACATCTGATTTGAACTTTCGTTGCCAAACACAACATTCCTGTGGTTTGTCATGTTCCGTACTCTCCTGACATGGCTCCATGTGACTTTTGGCTATTTCCCAAGCTGAAAATGCCGCTAAAAGGAACCCGATTTTAGTCAAGAGAAGAAAGACATCATACGGAATGCGATGGACCGGCTGATGGCCATTCCAAAAGATGCATTCCAGCAGTGTTTCTAGCAATGGCAGGAGCACTGGGAGAAGTGTATACATTACCAAGGAGACTACTTTTAAGGGGATTAGGGTTTTGTACCTCAAAATCAATAAATGTATTTTTGCCAACCAAAGGTCCGATCCTTTTTGAACACTCCTCGTATATGAGTACATAAATATACTAATCATCAGGGTATAATCATAAATTAAAAGGTGTCAGGGTGCTAATCAGTACCCTGAGTTTAAATCATCACTGTCTATGAAGGTGCCACCATAAAAAAATTATTTTGATGGTGGCACCTCCATTTTTTGATGATTTTTCAAAGAATTGTTTTGTGTATATGCAAAACATACTTTTGTGGTGCAATATCTACAAAATGGCTTAAATGATCCAAAAATTATATATATTTGTATTCAGTGCAAAAAACTGTGCAAGAAATAATATTCTGTTTTTTAGTCAAGTCTCAAGACCAACCTATATGTTCAGAAAGTGTATGGCTTTCTTCCTGCTTTAAAAATGTACCAGGGCACAACTACAGTGCTGCCTATCATATAAGTTATATTTTACTGTATTTATTTATTTTTATACATAAAATTTGATGATGTCTTGAACATAATATATGCCCTCCCCCTACAACGAATACCAATAAAAATAACAAAAACATTTAAAAACACATGGAATAATAGAAATTATATAGAATAAAGTAGTTTTTTTACAGATAGCTTTAAACCTGGGGAAATCAAGGAATAATTTATCTTCAATTTTAATAGCAATTTTGTGGTGATGGTATTTTGTTTAGTTTTATATTAGTAGAGCAGTATTTCTATATTAAGATGTTCTATTTACAAACAAAACAGTTTAATACAATTACTAAACAAAAGTTAGCACTTAAAACATACCTATTAAATCCTTATATTTAGCTTCCTTAACATGCAGTTTGAGGTTTGTTTTACTTATACAATCTCTTTTGCACCTATTAAACGTACAGTTATCATAATTATGTTGTTAGTGTGTAATGTTTTTAGTTGTAGTTTAATGCTTTATGCATAAGGCAATGATTCTCAAAGTCATTTGATCCACGGACCAATTAAACTGAATCACAGACAAACTGCTAAAAACCTATGCCCCATCCACTTTCTATCCCATGAGTATGATCATAGATGCATGCCATAATATTTAATCTATCTGGTAACCTAACACAAGGGGTGTGTGATGTGTAAAATTGTTCCTTTCCCTGACTAAACACCATAGAATCACATTTTGGAACAGCTAGACTAGTTTGTGGCCTATTTGGCACATGCTCACAGACTGTACTTTGAAAAACACAGACATAAAAGTATTAGCTAAATACTTTTCTGCATGTAAAAAATAAAAACAGTAAAAAAAACAGTAGGTATATAATTTTAGTGATTATTTTATTTCTCTTGGATTTATATCAGTCAATTTATATAATCTAGACTTTATGCATTTATATGGTAGATATTCTATTGAATTTAAAACCTGATGAGAATACAATATGGCATAACATGATCAGAAAAAATATCATTCAGACATCCTAAAAATGAAAAAAAAATGTTTTTCAACAACAAAGACAAAATTATATTAAATAGCCATAATTTTTTTGTTATTTTGTATATAAAAAAGAGCATGGCCCAATGTGATATTTTACGCCTTTCTATTGTTGTGCTTAATGTGTTAAACCATTTTTTTATATCCACTTATATTAATTAATTTATTAATACAAAAGTGGTACCTGTCTTCAGCTTAGATGGAAAGTCTATATCATCTCTATAAGTAAAACAGACATACAAAGTTCTGCATTCTGGTGTGTGGTCTCCATAGGGGGTTTTTAATTGTATCCAAAATTGTGTAAGAAAATACAGTGTATCTGTTTAACTTACAGATACAGACTTTCCATCTATGCTGAAGACAGATACCACTATTGTAGTATTCAAAATGCATTTATCAATATATAAGTGGAAATAAAAGAGTGATTTAACAACAAGTAAGGTCTGTTATTGTCCTTTGTTTTAAATTATTTGATTGTTGAAAATTGGGATGAGAAGAGACTGGACTTTGGATTAGCATTCAACTGATAATAAAGAAGCACCATAAAAAAAATAATTTTAAACCCGACTCAGAGGAGATTTCTTCATTCAGGTATAAGAAACTACTATTTCTCTAAATATATGTAATATTTATCAAGAAAACAATAACAACAAAGTTTTATATTATAATAAAAGTCATTATTTTAACAAAAGATGTCATAGCAAATGCCATAACATGTTTTAAATAGAAAAACTTCTAAGAAGAATAACTAAACAAAGCATTTTGTGTGTGACATACCGCTCATTTTATCCTTTGTTCACTGTGGATAAGACCGAGCACTATATATGATAGCAAGTTTGTCTTTTCATTTACTTCTTATAAATAAAAAACATTATTATTTTTCATTTTCCAGATCTTAATTAAACAGTAAATTGTGATTTTTTTTAAAATATTTTTTGTTCGTATAATCAAATTGAATTTTATCAGTAGATTCCTTACTTATTAAGTAGTCTACACTAAGTAGTCTATACACGTATAAATTCCGATTTGTGGACCATAAATAATTTAAGCTGTAATTGTTGTTACCAGAAAAAAATCTAGCATACCTTTATTGTTATTTGGATAATGTAAAGATTTTATAGCGTTAATAATAATTTATATCAATTTTTCCATAACGTAATTAATACATTTTATTTTATTTTTTCTAATAGAAACTTGAAGTATCTATTGTTGTTCGATCTTCCAGAAATAGTAAACAGAGAAGCTTGTGTGGAAGACTTGAGAAATTCTCTTCCCGGATGCGAAATCCACTTTCCTGCACCAGAAAAGCAATAAAGTGCTAAATTATCGATTAATTTTGCAAGTAGCGTTTGAACATTTTTCTTGAGTTCAAAAGGAAGCAAATAAATAATTATTTTTATTATTATTTACTAACTATGGTTTGATAATGATTATTCAATAAATTCGATGCAGTCTATGGACTTCTTTCTTCGCGTACACAAACGAATTGTCGTCGTTAATCGTCCGCGATCGACAGTTTGACGTTGCGTCGAGAATGGTCCGGTTTCGAATTCGATCGTTGTGACGTCGAATTTCCTCCCTCACCACACAGTGCCTCATTCTGTTCCTGACCAAACCCACGATGGGATCGATTAAAAGGTCCTGTTAACATTCACAGTACGGTAAAAGTAGAATCGTTCCATATCCAATCAACTGATCAATAAATTTGATCCTCTGAAAAAATTTTCCATTCTATGGCCGGCCACAGATCGGACAAATTTGATGGATGCCGAGAGGATAAATACAGTTAGTTACATTATCACGTATCGCAAGAAATACTCGCCATTTATAACCTGTTTGATTATTTGAAAAAAGAAAACGTACTTATTCTACCGATGGTAATTTTTCGGGTTGATATTTCGTTGAAAATATTCTTAAAATATTTAAAATAGTCAAGTAAAATGTATACGTAATCGAAATAGCTATTTGTCTTCATCAATATCATTATTTATTGTTATTAAAGAAATATAAAATAACCACAAAAATTACTAAATAAATAAATAAAAAATATAAATATATTTCGCGCATTTTTATACAAATGAGCTATTTATAACTAAACGAATCGTCGCAAGATTCTACAGCGTGCAGAATCTGGCGGGAGAGATTGTTATACTTTGAAAGATTACGTGCCGATACTTAAAGGACATTTTCTACTTTATTTAAATTTAAAACCATAAATATGAGGCCTTATGGAGAACAGATATGGAAACCATAGGGACATGAGGCCCCGAATAACGGAAAATTTAGAAATTAATAGCGAAGAATTTTGGGTCGAAGTTCACCAGTGTGGGCAGTTTTGTCGACTTTTGGAATCGGAATATGCAAATTTAGGTTTACGTGCCGGAATTGGTGGTAGCGACTTCGTATTTGTCGCGAGTTAAGGCATTTGGCACGTCGAGAACGTTCATAGAATGTGTAGTTCCGAAACCGCTCTAAATTGGATCATTTAAAAATTTGTCAATTCCGGAAGCACGGTTCGCACGGACGAGTGAAAAGGTTACAACGACATAGACAAACTGGAAGGACTAGACAACTGCTAGACATCGAACATAGAACTGTCAACCATTCTGAAAATTTCGTTGATCCAAAAACCGGGCTACACACCTAAAAGATCGAAAGACTGCGGGGTTATTTGAAGAACAAGAAGAATTTGCCAAGACACTACACGGAAGATCTGTCCGACTCGTACTTGTATTCGTTCACGTACAAAAAGTTCTTGAATCGGCCGTCGAAAATACCCGGCGAAAAGTTTTAAGCATTCGTTAAGCATCTGCGCAACTATATGTTGCGCAGATGCTTAAAACTTTCCCGGTTCCGGAAAAACAGCAAAAACGCGGAAAGAACCCGAGAGTCTACCCGCCGCCCTTCCAGTTTCGACAAGCGACAAGAAAGCGAAAAAAACAACAAGGGGAAAAATGGCGGAAACAAAGCCAATGAAACGGATAAAATCGACCAAGAAAAAAAAAAGCGTTAATTCGAAAAGAAAGTGCACAAGTAAAAAGCAGTCTACGTCCGGAAACACCAAACGTCGTCGTCGCAAAAGAGAATCCGGCGAACAATAAAGTAATTTTTTTTTCTAATCGTTATTTTTGTAATTCGGTCTTTCTTCCTTTTTCGCCGTAGCTCCGCCGCGTAAAAGGAAGAAAGCCGCCGTCTTTCATATGCACGCGTGCAAACAAAAGATGGCGACCGGAAGCGCCGACCGCCGCCACCTTCGCTAACTAGGGTAAATATAACCCATCGGGTTAATGTTACCTTAGGTTCCAAGATGACGACATTTCCTGTAATCTCGAAACGGAGGCGTGCGCATTATCGGCGATAGAGGGAGGTATTTCGTAATGTGACGTGATGCGAAATTTTAATCGACGGAACGCGCGATGTTGTTACGAACGAATATGCAAATTTGTAAGTTTTGACGTCGCGTCTGTAGTTTACCGTGGAATTATACAAATCGGTCGGTAGTCGTTCGAAATGGACGGTGTTGCGACAGGCGTACGTTGGAATAATTGCTGTCTTCGTTCGGGTAATTACTTTTCGAAATTGGATATTTTTGGTAATTATATTTTTTATTATTTTGGATTTTGGTAGTTTATAACTTTAAAGAAAAATATTTTTATTTTTTTAGTTTCTTTGCTAATTCTTTGAAAATGAGTTTTGCCGATTTAAGAAAGTGCACAAGTAAAAAGCAGTATACTTCCGGAAAAACCAGTGCTGATGCTTTTTGGTCGAGTTGTACCACGCGTAATTTCTATAAGTTAAATTAACATTTTCAGCCTCATGGAATAAACCATCCTCAGGTGTAAATGAGTTCGAACGTATTTTATTAAATAAACATTTCTCAGCGATGGAAGGTGTTTAATGTTTTATTAAGTGTCATTTATTTATCCATAAACCTGGTTTTGGGTTTAAATAAAAGCTTTTTCATTCTTATAATAAAATGCATATAAAAAAATTATGAAATCGTACGGCGCCTGAATTAATCGTACAAATACGATAATAATCCTACAGATGGCAACTCTAACGTAGCAGATACAGGCGCCACCTAAAAATTTATCTATTTATTTCGGTTAAGTTCAGATTAAAAAAAAATGAAAGCGAATTAATCCGTGAAGTATATAATAAATAAACAAAATAGTAATAAAAAATTAACGCAAATAATACCTTTTAGGGTATTTGCAATCGATTTATCAGGCAAGGAACGGAATGTATTTTCATGGTCTGCGACGTATCTTCCCGATACGTCGGAAATCCCCATTCCCATTCGATCCGGAATTTTTCGCACTCCGTTGGGATCGGAGCGGCGCGTCTCCTATCGGTACCGGAAGTTCAACCCAAAATTTCCAAACAGTCGGCCGTGGCCTTTATTATATTTCTGCCGGACGAGAGAGAAAACGAAAATATCCGAGAAGGACGCGGATCCCGATCGCCTGATATTCGATCCTCGATCTGCCGTCGTCTGGTTAAAAATTAAAAAAAAAAGAAGTGAACGCGCTTTTCTATCGTTCGTACTTATTTTTCTATTCCAAACGGTAGGAAAAAGTCGCCATCGCGTCACTACCGATAAGCGACGAAAGTCCGTCCTCCCGGGCAGTTCGAACTTTTGGCGACAGAGGGGGCGATCGAAGTGGTTCGACGTTCGAACCGGCGTCTGGACCCAATTTCGAATGGCCGAAATGGAGGGGGAGAAATTAGAAGCGGAGAAACTTTTCGAGGCGGTGGAGACCATCATGAATCCGTCGATCGGCCAGGAACGGAGAGGAGAAGCTTACCGGGTAACTCTGCCGGCTTTTTTCCGTCGTCCGTCGGTGCAGCCGAGTCACGCTTTACGAGATTTTTGTTTACCAGTGCGATTCTACGTGCGCGTGAAACTTATGTATTCGGTCGATCTTCTCGCTTTTAAGTAACATTTACTAAAAGTAAAAGCGATTTTCGGGTGAAAGACGATTTTCCATGGTCGACGATCGCTCGGAAAAACTCCGAAATCTTTGAATTATCTCTGTCGGATTTGCTAGACTCGTGGACCACCGCTTTGTTATGTAAAAAAAAATCCCGTTTTCGACGAAATATACGAACCATTAAAGGCACAATTTACCTTCAGAATGAGGGCTAGCGACCCCCAAATTGTAGCCCTCCCATGTGCAAACAAAAAAACTCAAAAGAACCATACCCCTATGCATGACCCTTCATGAGCTATAGGCCTCTGAAAATTCGCCTGCGTCATTTCCGGTCACGTGACATCCTACCCAAAAGGGAGCCTACCAATCAAAACAAAATCTGCACGCACACCTTACTTAGCGCTCCTTTCACACTTCCCTGTTCTGTCTTCACCACCATCGCTGTCTTGTCCCTTCCACATGGTGTGTGGGCCACGTTACCCACTTGAAGTCATCTGTAGTTGTCATCAGTTTCCTGTAAATACAATTATATATTATTAATTATTAATCTTACCTTTGCCAGGACACAAAGCCCAGTCCAGTTAAATCCGTTACAGTCCACACACTTGTCCTGTCCGGACCATGTCTGGTTTCATCGTTCTGGTCTTCCATCGTTGGCTGAATTCTCTGCCTGTTCTGTGGCATGTTGCGGTTTGATGCATTGTTTCTGCTGCTGCTTCTTTAGATGTTTTGGTGCAATGTGCCAGTCTTCCATTTTCTTTTCCTATGTCTCTTGACTGGGAGACGTGCCGTTTCCGATTGGTGCGCACACCCTTGAAGGTAGATGACATCATCTCGTTATGCCTCTTGCCCATCTGCTCCATCCCATTTTCCTTACCGGTGTGGGTGTTCATTTTGCTGTCCATGCCTTGATGTGATGGCATTCTTTAAACTTTGTTTGCTGTGCTGGTTTGTCTTCAACTCAGTGGTGACTGTGGCGTCAAAACTGTCGAGTGGTATGGTGGTGTGTCTGTCAGAAATGGTAACAAAAAATTGCTTTAAAATGTGTATCTATTGTCCAAAGTTTAAATTTAAGACATTTACTGTAAAGCTAATTAAATGTTTTCAAATTGTGAGATGTATAACTCTATTATAAGTTAATATGAAACAAAAATTGTACAAAACTAAATTGAATAATTGATTTACAATTTACAATAATTAATTTATAAATATAGCCAATATTCTCATTTTACGAATGTTTAGGTGATAAACTGGGCATATTGTTTATACGTGCATTAAATGCTAATGTATTAAGTTAGCACTTGCAACTTTATCAAAAATTTATTGTTTGGTACCAAAATTTTCTGTATGTTCTTGCACCGTTTCGTTTTTGTTGACATTGCTCGTTTTTAGATTTGGTGATCGAATTTTTATTGCCTTACTTGACTTTGGTTGGCTGTAATTTATTCTTGTCGATTCGACGTGTGATATTTTCTATTTTTGGACAAAACCAAAAAACATTTAAAAAATTAACAAAATACTCTATTAAGTTCTGGTATCTTTTGCATACAAATTAGGTAGCATCAAGAAAAATGTGCAGTTTTACCCATCAGAAAAGAACTGATGAAGCAATGTCATCTAATTGATGTTGCCGGTCCCTTAAGAGTAGCTATTCAAAGTTACCAGATTGCATTTTGAAACAAAAATATTTAAAACATTACAGTAATACCTCGACTTACGCGAACCCGGAGTTATGTGATTTTCAAATCTCGTCGATTCGTCTTTTGTTTGAGCGCAACGCGACTCTCGATTACTCACTCCCCCCACACTATTGTTCGGCTTACATGTTTGGACGTGTCGCGCAGAATTGACACACAAATAACACAAAATAAATTGTAGCTATTTCTGTGTTTGTTATATCTACGGAGACTCGAGAGACTCTTTGTGGTGATTTCTTGTAACCGTGAACGAATCAAAAGACGAGATAAGATTAACGAGAACATTTATTAGTTTACATACATCCGATTTGGATTTTACACAAATTGCGAAATTATACCCTGACTTACACGAATTCGACTTACACGGTTATCGCTTGGTCCCACCTATCGCATAAGTTCGGGGTATTACTGTATTCTGAATTACGAGTATGTATGTGAGAATTGTCATTATTTTCAAAGGGTTGTAGTAATCTGAATAGTTTTGGAATGATCTGGCTACAGAATATTCCAATGTTCTTGGAATTGTGTTTCCTGACAAAAAATTTTTATGGAAGTAAGCCAATTATTGTTTATGATTATCCTGCATTTAAATGACTGGAATGTTGCTTTTGATGTTCTAAATTGCAGTTATCTTAAACGACTAGAGTTGTGATGGGTTGAAGTTGGTGGATCAATGGTCCTATTGCTCTGTGGGAAATTATTAGTCTAGTAACTATTCAACATCTTTGAAAGTTAAAAGAAAATTGTCACTCATTTTACAGTTGTATCTAATTATTCTTGTTTATATGTTCACCTTTTTGTAATAAAATATGACATTAATTTCTTCTTTTAAATCAAAGTTCTCAATTTTTTTTAATTGATGATGTGTTTATTGCTTTGTAATTTGACTAACCGATCCTATTTTCCTCAGTTTATTTCCTGTCTTTATTGAATTTGACTACTTCCAGTTGAACTATACCTTTTATCTGTTTTCACAGTTTACTCAACAGTTTGTCTTGGCATTTGTATCCTTCCAATCGATCCTTTCTTTGTTCCTGGATGTTCTGATACATGTGTTTGTAGGTTTAAATGCAATCCATAAAATTTCCTTTTAAATGTAATTCTCGATTTTTCTATTACAAAAAACTTTGTAGCCTCACTCTTGCTGTCCTATATTTATCCCATGTGTAATTCTTTGTTTACCTGTAAATGTGATCCCAAATATTTCAGTCTGTTAATTTTTTTAACTGTCTTATTACAAAGTCTAATTTTTTTTCACTATTTTTACAAGCCAAATTCCACAACTTATGTTTTCTCTCTACTAATTGTTAAACCTTACATCTTTACCAATAACTCTTTCTATTTCTTCCTTACTATTTCTTCGTCATTAAGCAAACTTGTATTATCCATGAATAAGATACATCAAGGTTCTCTGATTTTTCAAATCTGCAATTATCATTTGTAAATCCTTTCTAATTTTTCTGTAATAAATTGTCTAATACAGCATTTCTCAACCTTTTTATGCCCAAGGACCAGTAAAATATCTGAAAAAAATTCTACAGACTACCAAGTTAATTAGGCGTAATATTTTTAAACCTGTGTGTATATTACCAGCATTTGGGACAACATGGGACATACATTTATAACATAATAAATTTTTAAAGTAGTGTGTTTTGTATACTTACAGAAGCTTAATTAAATTGAAAGTAAACTATTAAAAGTGAATCATCATTGAACAAAGTTTATTGAGGTTTATTAATTTAAGTCTGCCTGTGGATCATCTGTGCCATCGTTGCAGACCACAGGTTGTGAAACCCGGTGTAATATAATATAAAAGATACAGATTTAAAGCCAATCCCTGATGAATCCGTTATACCTATAACATTTTTGTAACAAACTATTCTGTCTTAACAAATTCTCATAAGCTTTGTTAAGAATAAATCATTAATTTCTTACAAATTTAAATATTTTGTAAGTCTATGAACACCATAAACAAATCCTTCCTAGCTTCTCTATACTTATCCACTAGTTGTATAACTAAGAACATTTGTTTCATTTTTGATATACCTGGCATAGATCTAATGACTATTTATATTAATCTTATTCCTCAATGTACTTTTTATAGTTCTTTCCCATAGTTTACATAGCTAATGGCATCCCATTTTCTATTATATGATGATATGACCTAGTTATTTTATCTACTTTCCAGATCCTTCCTTTTTGAGTAACCTATCAGTCTAATTAATCACTCAATCCTTAAATTAGCTAAAAGTTTTTGTATATATATTGGTATGCTGTCCAATCCTATTGCCTTACCTCTCTTCATTTTCCTTAATATGGAAATTGTCTTTCCACAAACTTTTTTCCACAAACTATTTATTCTTTGGGCTTTCTATCTAACAAAGGAGATTATGACATTGTTTTCAGGCAGGAGTGGATGGGGCCATTGGGAAATTTCTGATGCTGGTCCCTTTTTTATTCATAGGTGTCAGCACTGGTACATAGATTTCTCATACTGCTTGAAAGTTCCATCCACACGCATCTTTGGGGCTTTCAATAATAGAGTTTGCATGGATAATTCTATTAAAAAAATAGAACAGATATGGCTACATAAATTAAATAACTCCCAAATACAATGAAATAAAGGAATGGGTTATATAGTATGAGAAAAGTTCCTTGCAGCATTTTCATTTTAAAAGTACTGAAGATATATTAATTTGTTTAATGTATTTATATAAGAAGGCATGTTGGAGAATTGGGTGGAATCTTTTTTGTTGACATTGACAATCACTTTTACTACTAATGAATTTGAAAATGATTTTCAAGGTTAATAAAAAGGCTCCAGCTGATTCTTCACACATGACTTCCCAAAATTAATATATCTTCAGTATTTTTGAAATGAAGAGAGTGCAAGGGTTGACTAGTCCTCTGTATTCACTTGCCTATTGGCTTCCCACATACTCTACCATGTTACTGACTTGGTATTCTGGGCTATTTAGTGGAGAAATTGATTAGTTACCTGTTTTCTCCTCTTTCTTTGAATGCTCAGGTTGCTGCACTGATCATAAATAGATAAGAATTGGTTTAGAAAGGCTGTGGGTAAATTTGAAAAACTTAATTTCAGTTTTTGGAATTTTTATTTATTTGATTGTGTGTGAATTCTTTATCCAAAAATTTAGATCTCATTTGATCTAAATCTTGGGTAAATGAAATTTATGCTTGTTATACAGTTAGACTTTTTACTTATTTTGTAGTGATACTTAACATTGGATTGCTTGAGTTTATTGATACAAAGGTCTTTCTGCTAATAACAAAGCTTAAAAATTTTAGACAAAATATAGAATTACAGAAGTAAGCAGTTCTGTTTCTTGGATTTTCTTCCTGCAGACTATTTATCTCCAAAATCAAATTGATATTAAAATGATCCAGTCTTACCAGAGTTTCATGTGATTTGGAATGTTCTGTCGGTCAGTTAAAATTGAAAATAATTGTTTTCATAGGCAGCAAATGGGTTAACATTAGTTTAATTTTTCAGTAGGTCATTTCCATTGGAAGGTTCTTTGACAAAAAAGTGAATAAATGTTTTGAAGTAAAATTTCAAATTTCATTGGTTTAATGTGTAGTTTTCTCTACTTTGATTATTAAAGAATTAAGATTATGGTAATTAATAAGTTAATATTCTTTAAATCTAATAATCTAAACCTTGAAATTGTAATGTTGTAAATTTTGAAAGACTTAGATTCTGATAATAGTTTTATTTATAAACAGCTTTATTATTAATCTATGTTTTATTGGAATTGGTTTTATTTTATTATGACATTTTATATTTTGTAATATAGATAATAATAAGAAAATAAACTTTATAATTGTAGATATGTGAAAATTTTAAAGAGACTTCGCCGCTCTGTGCGCATTGCGGATTACTTTTGTCGTCGATTGAAAATCCACCTGTAGTTCGTCACTTTGGACTTCAGCTAATAGAGCACCATATAAAGTAAGTCTTCTAATGGAGTTTGTTTATAATAATTGTTTTAATTATGGAAAAGTTTAATACAGGGTTCTTAGGAAAGTTTATAACCCCTTATAACTTTTAAAACACCTGAAAACTTTGAAAGCACCATGGAAGTAATTGGCACTTATAGGAAAGTGACGTTGCACAGTCTATTGTTTGTGATTTTAACATCCCTAGTGGTGAAATATGGAACTAAAGAAAACTAACTGGGAACTAGTGGAGATGTGCAGAAAAGTCCAATTACAAAATGAGAGATCATTGTTTATCATTTTGTACTCAAAGCAATATTTGGTTCAGCAGAAATACCTTCAGGAAAGAGCAGTAAAGACTAAGAAATTGTCAGCAGAAAACCAATTTCTGATATTTGGCAAGAGTTATTGAGTGTGGTGGTTGTCTGGAATGGCTGCCACAATCATCCAACTTTACACTGATGACTTCCTCTTTTGGGATACACAAATGATCAAGTGTATGCTATGGAACTTTCCACCATGACAGATTTAAAGGAATGCATCATCAATACTTGCAATGCTGCATGCTGTTAGAGATGAAGTTCTGCCCCACATCCAGAAGTGCATTGTCACCAATGGTGCACACTTTGGACACTGTACAACAGATTACATATCAGATTGATTGAATAGCATTTCATCTGTGTTGTTTTGTACAGTACATAAACATTTGCTATGTACTTAGTCTTTTCTGCTCTTTCCTGTAAGTGTTTCTGCCGAACCACATTTTGTTTTGTACTAAATAAACAAGTTCTTACACTTTGTAATTGGACTTTTTAGCTTGCCTCTGTTGGTTTTCAAGTTAGTTTTCTTTAGTTCCATATTTTACCATAAGGGGTGCTAAAAATCTCATTTATTGGACTGCACATGGTCACTTTCCTACAGGTGCCAATTACTTCCATTGCAATACAATAGATGATTTAGAAGTTAAAGGGCATGTGTGGACTTTCCTAAAAACCCTGTATATTAAAATTTAATTTTTTTTATAGTTTGAGAAACTTTTATGAAAAGTATTGTAATGAGCTTTGATAATATTTTATTTCAGATTTCGTTGGAATTTCTTATCACAGGAAGAAAAATGCTGCATTAAAAACAGTGCAATGAATTTATTAACTAAAGTAAACTTTTACTATATTTATTAACATATTAATAGAATAAAAAATATATTATACTTTAAAATGGAAATTATTATGAGTATGGATGTTTACAAATCAAAAAATATATTTAATTATATTAATTTATTTAAATTAGTATAAGGTTTTTCACTCTTTATATGGGAAACAAAATAATAGAATAGAAATATATCAAAATAGAATTACATACAAAATTCAAATAATTGAGTTTAAAATATACAGGATGAGTCAGGAGGAGGGGGAAATGTTTTGGGAATGATAGTATTGGCCATACGATTGCTGGATTATGTCAGCTATATTATAGTTACTAATTACTAGTTAAATTTAGACCTCTCTAGGCCAAATTACTTCATATTTAATCAGTAATTAGTAGCACTAATACTTAGATTAAAGCCAAGTAATTGCCAGATTACATCAGGTGTAATCTGGAAATCATTTGGCTTTAATCTAAGAATTGGGTTTATAAATGTTTATGATGACCTATACTAATATAAACAAAAAACTTTATATCAACATGGGTGTTATTCTCAGTAGTTTTGGATATACAGCTGTATGAAAGTTGTTCACATACAACAATAAAAATGAATGACGTGTGTTACAATCTAAACAAATGCTCAAAAATTAAAACCCAAACTTCAATACACTACAACTTGTGTCTGAACATCATGTGTCGTTTTTCTGAGATAGTGGTGATGACCACTATGCAACTTAGAGACAAAGTTCAAGTCTCGTTGCAGCATCTCCTGGAAACAGATGTTAGACATGCTGACAGTAATAAGGATGTAAATCAAGAATATAATGTTTGATTGACTAGATTTTAAGGAGTATTGAAGTTCAGGATTTGATTTTGGAGCATTTGTTTGGAATGTAACACTTGTCATTCATGTTTATTGTTGTATGTGAGCAACTTTTATATAGCTGTATATCCAAAACTACTAAGAATAATTCGTTATTTTCATATAAAGTATTTTACTTACATGACCTATATTATCATTCTATAAGATATTTTCCTCTCCTTTTGATTGAAGCTGTATATACAATAAATAAATATACAAAAACTAGTAGTCAAACTGTGGCAACATGATGCCATAATAGTAAAGATAAATAATGTGTTTAAGTAACTTTTTAATATAAAGCAAAAAACAATAAAATTTACACCTACCATATAAAAATATACAAAAGTTAAGTGCAAGGTATTATGCAAAAAAACATAAGCAACAAGTCATCACAGCTGGTCAACACAGATTAAACCCTCTAGTTATGTTATGTTAATATTGCCCCAAATCTATTATAAAATGTCTTTGATCAACTGTAGAAGTTAGTTCATTTTTCAGGGCACGAATTCTATTCTGGATGAAGAAGCACACATAAAGGATGGAATGTCAAGGATCATCGTAGAAATGATCAAGAGAGAATGGCCTCAGCAGTGGCCGGAACTTTTAAATGAACTAAGTGAATTGTGTAAAGTTGGAGTAAGTTATATTTGGATAAGAATATACCTTGGTTTGTCAATTTATTCTTTAAAGTATTTTGTCATTATCTGAATTATATTGCAAATATAAATATAGAAATAGATGAAATTTTTTCTTGCTTTATATTTTAAAATATTTAATTTTGTCAACAGGAGACTCAAAAAGAATTAGTCTGTCTCATATTTTTAAGGCTGGTGGAAGATATTGTTACTCTGCAAAATGTTCAAAATCAAAGAAGAAGGGAAATATATCAAGCTCTAACCAGTAATCTACAGAAAATATTTGTATTTTTTGTTACTTCTTTAAAGACTCATTACTATGAATATAAAACCTTGGTTAGTTAAATTTACATTATTCTTTATAATTAGAAATAGATTTTGTTTAGTATTTTGTGTTTACCTTAGCTTACCACATAAAACTTATCGAGTTTTCTAATATTGAATTGAATTTGAGGGAAAATTCATAAATCTTTGTCAAAAAATTTAATTTTTAGATCACATATTTATAACTATTTAATTTATATATTATTTAAAGTGTGTTTGTTTATGTTATTAATGATACACTATCCTGCAGATGCCTGCCGATATTGAAAAGATACATTTGTTAGCAGACATTATTAGTTAAAGATGCTTCTAACTTTCTAATGATGATATTTATACTATTTCCTAAAAATGTTTGCTTCTTTTTAATATAAAAAAAAATTTCTTAAATGAAACCTTTTTGCATATTTTAATATTTATTTCAAAGTAAATATTAAAATACTTTATTAAATAATAGCTATTTTCAATCTAACAAAGAACTTCACAAATATAAAAATATTAAAATTTTTATAGGTTTTGTTCATTAATAATTATTAATTTAATTAAACTATTGTTATTGTTAAACTCCAAATCTTTGCAAAAAAAAAAAACAATAATTTAATTAAGCATCTATAAGACACTACCTTTCTTATCTAATATGCAGCCAATCAAATGTCTAATGATTTTTTTATCACAATAAAAAAATTTCTAGTAAATAATTATACTTGTTACAGTTTTAATTTTTGCATTTTGTTTCTATTTAATGAATTGTTAATCATTTTTGTGGTTATTTTCTATTTTTTCAAATTCATTTAGACACAAGTTTTATATAAACAAAAGTAAAACAATTGTAGTTATTTTCTGGACTGAAATTTTCATTGACATGCAACACAACATTGATTTTAATTTTGTCAACAGGAGACTCAAAAAGAATTAGTCTGTCTCATATTTTTAAGGCTGGTGGAAGATATTGTTACTCTGCAAAATGTTCAAAATCAAAGAAGAAGGGAAATATATCAAGCTCTAACCAGTAATCTACAGAAAATATTTGTATTTTTTGTTACTTCTTTAAAGACTCATTACTATGAATATAAAACCTTGGTTAGTTAAATTTACATTATTCTTTATAATTAGAAATAGATTTTGTTTAGTATTTTGTGTTTACCTTAGCTTACCACATAAAACTTATCGAGTTTTCTAATATTGAATTGAATTTGAGGGAAAATTCATAAATCTTTGTCAAAAAATTTAATTTTTAGATCACATATTTATAACTATTTAATTTATATATTATTTAAAGTGTGTTTGTTTATGTTATTAATGATACACTATCCTGCAGATGCCTGCCGATATTGAAAAGATACATTTGTTAGCAGACATTATTAGTTAAAGATGCTTCTAACTTTCTAATGATGATATTTATACTATTTCCTAAAAATGTTTGCTTCTTTTTAATATAAAAAAAAATTTCTTAAATGAAACCTTTTTGCATATTTTAATATTTATTTCAAAGTAAATATTAAAATACTTTATTAAATAATAGCTATTTTCAATCTAACAAAGAACTTCACAAATATAAAAATATTAAAATTTTTATAGGTTTTGTTCATTAATAATTATTAATTTAATTAAACTATTGTTATTGTTAAACTCCAAATCTTTGCAAAAAAAAAAAACAATAATTTAATTAAGCATCTATAAGACACTACCTTTCTTATCTAATATGCAGCCAATCAAATGTCTAATGATTTTTTTATCACAATAAAAAAATTTCTAGTAAATAATTATACTTGTTACAGTTTTAATTTTTGCATTTTGTTTCTATTTAATGAATTGTTAATCATTTTTGTGGTTATTTTCTATTTTTTCAAATTCATTTAGACACAAGTTTTATATAAACAAAAGTAAAACAATTGTAGTTATTTTCTGGACTGAAATTTTCATTGACATGCAACACAACATTGATTTTAATTTTGTCAACACAATATTATTTTCTATTTAAAATTTAGTAAATGTTTTTAAAATATTCTTATATTATTATTAAAAATTATAAATGAATTAAATGTATTATTTTGCACAAAAGTAAAGAAATAAAAGCTAGAATTTTATAAAAATTAAGCTTCTTAATGAACATGTAACAGAATAAATGAATGCTGTGATACTATGATTCTTTTCTCTAACAATAATTTTTTCTTATTCTCTGTTTAGCTTAATTTGAAAACAATCTGAAGATAATGTAGAAGACTATAAATAGTAGAAATTAATTTAATAAAATCTTTTAGTTGTTCATATTTTTTGTTCTCAGAATATAATTAGACAATTTATGCTATTGTTTTCAATGGAAGAAGTTTTGAACTAAAGAATGTAGTAAAATTTCATCTGTAATTCATGACAAATTCCTTTACTATTAAAACTAGTACAAAAAAAATATATTTTTTAATAAAGAATATATATATATATATTAATGTAAAGAAAGAAAGTGTGTATATATATATATACACTTTCTTTACATGAAATTTAAAAGAAAAATTTTAAATATGCCAATGATACCGATAAGTATTAGTAGCATATTGTTTTACTGTTTACAAATATACATAATATACAGGGTTTACCATAGGAGTTACCTTTTTCTTTGTTTATTCTTTACAGAGAAAGCATAACACTGAGTAAGGATGAACAAATTAGAGTTATTTTGATGGTAGGATCTCCTACAATTGATGTGAAGTCATCAAGGATTTTAACAGGCTTCATCCAGACTTTTTACTAGTCACATGCAGTTGTCTGGATGCAGCCCATTAAATTCTTTGACAACTTCTTGCTGTCTGTAAGAAGTTGCTGAAACTAAAACTACTTCCTTACTTGGTGCCAAGGTTTACTTGTAAAAGAATAAACAAAGATTAACATAACTCCTTTGGTTCCAGACTTATGAATATAGTCTTTGTATATAACATATATACTTGATACTAAAATGTTTTTTTTTTTTTTTTTTAATTTTTTAAACTATTATTTTACTA